GTTTGTAATGACTTATCATGAGAACAAACGTATTCACGTGACTTTAATAACATTTCTTACTTAATGGAAACACTGCAGTTGTGAAACTGTGTTTTTTCGACATTAACAGAATATCGACAAAGTTTTGTGTACATTTGTAATGGAAACACAGCTACTGATGTTTATGTGTTTTGTACAGTCAATAGTTGAACAAAGCAGCTAGAAGAACTGAAGGAGGGTGAGAGGAAAGAAGGGTGGTTCCTTGAGTTGCTTTTCACTATGAACAGTTCTGAATATCAAAATTATTTATTTTAGGTTCTTTAGGTCTTTTAGGGTTGGGCATAATCATATCGTGTGCAATTAATCGTCAGAAAAACTCTAATCGATTATTTTTTTGCACTTGACGATTAATACGATTAATTCCACCAGGCAGGCTGACTGGATTTTTCCCCGGTCAGTCCCATCGGTGCTCCTCTCCGCTTCAAGTATGATGAACATTAAAAAAAAATAATAAGTTCTGTAATTTATTTATCAGCACAATTTAAAGTTTGATGTATAACCTGAAGTCTGTAATTTTGGCACAATTTGGAACAGATTTTTACAAAGAGTAAATCTTTCCCACTAACTTGGTCATGTGACCAGGACATAAGGGTGTTCAGGGACTCCAGGGGATTAATCATCAAATTAATTGTTATCGGCTAAATACCACAATTAATCATGATTAATTTTTTTGCCAATATTGCCCAACCGTACATTCCAGGAAAACTGACATGTTAAAAAAGCAGTTTCAACCATTAAGAACTGGTTTGGTAAAGTTGCAATTCCAACAATTTTTCTAAACTCAAGTTTGTTTCTATCAGCTGGATTCTAAATGTGTTTTCTGATATTTGAGAGGTTTTAACATCAGCTGGTCTTGTCTGTGTTTGAACAACTCACTGCGGTGTTCCTGCTCTGCAGCAGAGGTTTAGTGTTCCTCAGCAGAAGTCTGTGATCCGGATCCATGATGTAGGGCTTCGCTTCAGTCTGGTCCTTCTTGTCCTCAGAGTCAGAGTCGTAGAAAGTTTTTTCATTGTTCTCATCAAACACAGCATCCTGAAACACAAATATAATTATTTGTGTGGGTCACTCAAAATAAAATATAAAAAAACAAAGAAGACAGCTTTTACCTTTAAGTAGTATTCCAAACTTGTTTTTTAAAAAATAAAATGACTTTTTGTTCTCTAAATTTTTAGTCCAGTCCATTTTTTTTTATTCTAACAATAATATTCAAACTTTTTCTCATAATAATGTATGAGGACTAGAAGAGGAATCTTGAAGAATGCTTTCACTGGAGACTACAGCTATGTGACACAGACTTGTGAGCACTAACCCACTGGCTGAAACTGCTTATAAGCATGTGCAGTGTCAAAGCTCAGACTTTGATGAACCTGCTCCTGCTGGCCACAAAACTGGACTGCACCAGACTCTAATCCCACACCAAGATGAGCCTAAAGTACCTCTATGGAGCTCAACTTATGTTCACCAGGCCTGTTATCAGTTCCTCCCTTCTGACTGACCAGCCTGGAAGGAGTGCAGTTTGGTTGGAGAAGGTGGGACACAAACCAGTTGACTTTATTCCTTCAGCACAGGGCAACTAGGGCTGTGTATTGGCAAGAATTTGGCGATACGATACATATCATGACAGAGGGGTCACGATACGATATATCCCGATATATTGCAATACTATAAGCAAGGCGATATATCGCGATATATTGCGATTTTTTTTTTGTCCAAAAATTCAATTAAATAAAAACCTCTTACTGGGAAAAAAAAACGAAAAACTAAAATTCATTGTCTCAGAAAG